AAATGTATCAATATATCCCATGCAGTATCAAGAGGAGATTTGGCGCGTTACAAATTTATGGTATTTTGAATTTCGCCTCTGAAAAATTATTTTCCAAATTTAATACCAAGTAAGTTTAGATTTGTTTGTTTAGTTTTGATGAAATCTTCCGTTTGTTCAAAAAAAATTAGAAACGGAAAATTTGATTCTGGGGAAGAGGCGTCAGACCACCTTTCGAAATGTGTCCGTATGGATTGTTATCCCCCAAATAAAAGAAGTTACAATTATTGAGTTGTTAATCTGAAAACAATTGTATTTGTGGGGGAAGAAAATGGGGCGGGGGGGGGGTGAATATTTTATGCACATGGTTGATAAAGGTGTATAATGTAGAGGTGTAGAGGTGTTGTGGTCGAGTGGATACGTCGCCGGACTGTCGATCACAAGGTCCGCGGTTCGAGTCCCGCCGCCTCACTAATGTCCTTTGGCAAGACATTGATCTACATTTGCCACACTCCACCCAGGTGAAGTAAATGGGTACCTGGTAGGAATTTATTCCTTGAAATGCTAGAGCGCCGTATGGCAGCTGTGCTAAAGCCAGGGTAATAATCGGGAGCGCCAGGAGGGTCAAATCTGACTGACATGAGCGCTATACAAGAACCCACTATTATTATTATTATTATTATTATTAATACTGTATTTTCAAAAAAGGCGCATACTAAATGATAGATGGTGAATAATACCAAGCAAAGAAAAAAAAAAACGTTGCCACACTGCCAACTGTGCCGTATAAAGTGTTAAAAATTGAGCAATATGACAGATATTTAATAGCGCATGGTGTGCTGTAAAACTTATATATTTGATAAGAAATATTGTGTTGTTTCTGTAAATTGATGGCTTCTCTTCCAATTTCTGCCGTACTTTGATCTAGACAACTTTCCTGCTTCTTTCCAAGCAACTTTTCTCTATTCTATCGAGTATGGTAACATGTTAATGTTCTTTGTGTAATCGCTCGAACATCAAACGTGATAACAATATAAAACTTATTTGTGTGAAATATCGTGCCCTTTGGAAAAGTGTTTCGTGACTTTGTGTATCCTGTCAATGGAATATATTCTGTTGTACACTGCTTGGAACAAGTGTTGTGTGTAAAAGTGATCGGGAAGTGAATTATAGTGGATTATTTGTGTAATTGTGGTCAATATTATGATAAATTTTGATAATGATAATGTAATAAGGTAATTGTGTAAGTGCTTGAGTTATATAAAAGTGCTCACGGTGAAAAGGATCAGCTGTGAATAAATTTTACATCGAGAAATGATTTGTGTGTTTTGGATTGCGTCTGTTGGTAAAATATTCTGCTAAGATATCCCAGTTAACTGACACTTCCCTGGATATCCTGCAACCGACAAAACCTCAATGACATAGATACAACACTCAGTAGAAATACAATTAGACTGTCGCTATATTTATGTATAATACATTATCGTAAAAAGTACTTTCATATATTATGCCAAAAAGTATTTATCAAAATGACAGGCTTAGGCTGTTATTTCATTATCATAATAATTTATGAGAAATGAAATATGAATCAATGTTTACATTTGAAGTGATATATAATTATTTATATAACTGGAATTTCAATGTTCTATATTCTCGAATAATATGTGTTAAAGCTATGAATCCTGCTATACATGTAGATTGAACAGATCTCTATTAAAGTATTTTGAAATTGACACTGTATACTTCTCATCGATTTGTAGTCTGTTTGGGATGTGGCGTTTATGTGATTGCAACAAAAATTGGATTAAACCCCATTTTAATTAAATATGTCGATGACGGGGCAAAAATTAAAAAGAATCAAAAATGAAATGTGCTCCAGGATACGAATAAGCTAGTTCATATATGCAGTCTACGCATGAGCAGACACATTTCATTTGTACTAAATTTGTAAAACTTAGATATGAATAGGATAGGTTTTTATGAAAGGTATACACCAGCATGCATTACATGATACACTGGTGTGTTATTCTCAAAAGGGGGGAAATTATTCATGAAGAAGACATTTCCATCACTTTGGGGCACGTTGGGGCACTTTGGGTGTGAGTTTCCAAAACAAAGCACACAATGGCACCTCCTTATGTTTAAATTCAAAAATCTGTGGAATTATGCCGTCATTTTGTGCCATATTGCTAACTACGAACTTGTATCTTTGCACGAATAGAGTCTTCCAATGTAGCAGGATAGGGACAGCCAAAGTGACAAAACGAAATTAAGCCGGAGGTCCCGAGCAAATTAACACATGGTTCCAGGTATGCATAATGTATGTTGTGAATTTTCAGTGAATGTGAGTGACTTCTGGTAATTTGTCATAAGGTGTGTATATTTTGCTGATTTTCAGCAAGACAGTGAATGAAAAATGACACTGACATATACATTTTTTTTCTTCACAAACTAATATAAGCATAACAAAACGTTCAAGAATGTCGTTGGGTCAAAATTTGGGTAACAAGAGAAGTACAACAAAACAACAATGGGTAAAACACAGTTGGGATGCTCTTCTTAACTTTTTTACAAAATATATTTTTGCACTTGTAAACATTCAAAAATAAAAGGGGTGATTGGGTCATAATTAGGTTAATAACAAAAGTAACAACAGAATAAACAAGACATGTGAAAAGAGGTGGTTGTTATTCCAAACAAACATAACATTGGACAAAAACATTTATAAACATTTAAACGGCTCAAAATATGGACAATTACAACACAGGTATCATGTTCTTTGATTATGCTGTCTTTCCAACACCCCTTTATTTTTCTCTCTCCCCCTTTTCACCTGTCGATGGTGGGCAACATTACTGACCAGAAGTACAGAACCCATCAACCATAACTACCATTGATGCCTGATTTGGGGATACAGATTCCTATACTTTGATGTTGAATCATTTGTTTAATTTTTTAAATTTTGTATATCTTCCTATTTATTTTCATCTCATTCTCTCTTCCTTTCTCCTTATTTTCCCAGTAATTACCTTCATCAAAGGTAAGTCCATGGTTATAGAGCTATGTAGAGCTATGTTCTTGTTTACCTCTATTAAAGCCCCATCGCACTAGTTTGGCCAGGAGGGATTAGACCTCCCTGCATGGTCACTGACAGGTGGTTATCTTACTGATCAATAAGCTCTCAATTAACAAAAGAAAAAGATGATCATGGTGGACCAATGGTCACCGATTAGACATTGTTTGCTATATAGAGGGCGGAAGTTGCTATAAGTAGTGCAGTGGGGCTATAATTGGACCATGCAATACAGTCACACTGAGGTACCTCCGCACTCCCTGAAAGACACGCTCAATGTCATGCTTTTTTTCAACCCGCTGATGGGCAGACACGGATGAGCAAAGATAGTCTTTACCTTTCAGTCGTTATTTAGATGTGTGGATAGTAGGATTCATTCATACATGTACAATTTCACTCTGGACACATTGCCAGAGTTTGAAGTTTTTTTTTTTGGGGGGGGGGGGGGCACATACATGTATCGATCGAGGTAAAAAAAAAAGGGGTCTAAAAAAGTTCAACCGATCTTGGAAATTTTTGGGGGGCACGTGCCCTCCTTGGCTACGTGACTGACACATTGAACCCTAAATTAAGGGATATACTGAAAAATCGCAATTAATATTATCGGGATAAACATTTTAATGGACGGATGTCGTGATGATCTTTTTTTTTAAAGTTTCAGTTGTAGGGAGGTGGGGGGGGGGGGGGTGCGATGAGCTGTGACTCAGCGTTTTTTTTTTTTTAACACTACTTGGGACAACTGTCATAACTAATGACTGGCTGAAATACAGGCCGATCAACCGTAATCTATCAACAAACAATAGGACAATGAAAATTGCCTTGTAATATCTTTTTATGGGATTTGACCATGAAGTATGTTTTGTATTGTTGTATAGTCTTTGTCGAAGCGTTCAAGTAATGCACAGTCATCTTTACAGATGTAAATGCAAGTTATTCAAATGATGTAAAAAAATTGTTACATTATCATAATGAAAGTTACTCTAACCATGGACCTACTACTTCGTAGGTCCATGCTCTAACATTGCCCTTTTTCTGAATACGAAATATATTCCTGTGGTTAATTGACATTAATTGCTCGTTCTCTCTTTTTATTAATTAAAGACTATTATAAAATGAACTACCCTACTCACAAGCATAGCTTTGTAGGCCCCTCTGTATTTACTCTTCCTCTTTTTTGTTAGTTCAGTCTTTTATTCAAAATAAAAGAATTCGAACATTGTTGATATGAGGGACTCACTTTCTGTTTTGTCTCTGTTAATATAATCCATGTTTATCTGTACCATTCACTTTGTGAAATCATAAATATATGTGAAATATAAAACAAGCTGAAACTGAAACTAAATGTAAGCCTATTGAACCTCAATTCATATTTGTAACAAAACTGCCGTTGATGAGCTGAATAGCATTTTTCTGGCTTGCACAAAGATTTTCTAATTTAAAGAAAAATGTACCCAATTAGGCCTATGCATCGTTTCCGTGGATAGCTTTCATTCATACATACAATTACTTAAACAGATTCAATTCGTAGGAAGAAGATATCATGAATTCGAACCTAGAGAAAAGTAACTGCGAATGCGATACTCATCTTGCTTAAAGTGGGGGTAGGCCTAGGTGCAATCCCTGCTACAACCACCGCTGTCACTGTCGAAAAATACTAGTAAAAAAAACGTTAAAAACGTTTAAAAAAATGATCACAAGTCGTAGAAGTTTAGAACATCAGTTGTTCATCTGAGGGTTCCCCTGTGACGTAGTAGTCTCTTCTGGGCACTCACCCCAATACTATGCAAATCGACACAGTTATGCGAACAATGTTCTACGTCATTGTGTATTACATTACAAGAACCTTCCCGAGCTAACGAGAGACGACAAGAAGGGTATGTGGGAAGCACACACGCGCACTATATACGTACGATGTGCGTATATCAAAATTACCGGCGCCGCACGTAAACCGGCCAGAATCAAAATGCATTGAGCTGTAAATGCTGTTGCCTTCTACTAGATACAGTGTAGTGCACATTGCATGGGAACTGATGCCGCTCTGTTTATTATGTCTGCCGGTATCGTCGTTCACTGCACTGTGAACGTACGTATTATACCCGGATTACTATTGATTTGAAGGCTACGTGATGTGTACACTGGGATATGATTAGCTTTGATTTTGGAATACATACGCAACAAAATGTCGACAGGATCTCCAAAGAAAGCCAGCAAAACGCTCGCAGAGAAGGGACAGCATTTGGACCCAATCAACGTGTCGGAAACAGTGAGTAGTAATGCCGGTAGCTGCCCCAGTGAATGCAGGCAAACGTATTGCAGTACATTTACATGTAGTACTAGTAGTGAAGGCCTCGAGGAACAAGATTTAAAAAGTGCAGTTACAGAACAATCACCTACTTCAAATCACAGAGGGAATTCTCAAGCAGACGGAAATGAAGGGGCTGCGTGTTCTGATATAGACTCGAAATACGTTGATGAGGATGTAGACGCAGTATTAACAAATCATACTGATACTGTTCCCCATGGCCATGGCAACTTCAAACTCGGCGCCGATAGCGTTGATCTTGATGATGCCGCTTTCAGTGCTTTCAATGTGACTGTTACCCCAGATGGATTTTTATCACCAGCGTCACCGACGTCGCCCACCAGTCCTGATCCCGACGGAGTACGATCACCGCTGAAATCCTCAATGCGTGACCCTAAACGACCTCGAACGCCCCCAGGCACGCCTTCCCGGAAGTCAGTTCACTTTGCGGACGCCCTAGGGTTGGACTTGGAGACTGTCAAGACCATACTGCGAACGGAGTCACCACCTGACCTGCATGTCCATGTGGACGAGGAGAAACAAACAATATGTGCCAAGGTTCTGTCGTTGTGCTTCCAACAACCCGGTGGGAAGCCAGATTTCTTGTCCCGCCTCAATTCCTTGAATGTTTGCCTTGAGAACGTGGTTGTCCATGAATTCACCCTCATCGGCACCATCAAGGTGAAAAACTTAGGCTACAACAAAGAAGTGCGAATTCGCCAATCGTCAGACAATTGGAGTTCTTACATTGACACTATGGCTATGTACGTCCAGGGTTCTTTTGATGGGCCTACGGATCGGTTTTCTTTTGGACTCTCTGGACCTAGGAGTATGGCTCCAGGAGCAATACTCAGTTTTGCTATCTATTACAAGGTAGCAGGACAAATATTTTGGGATAGCAATGGAGGACAGAACTACTCCCTTGTGTGTGAGGAAGTCAAGAAACTATGATATGTGTGTGTGATAGTCGATGTACCAAAACATAACGTCTTCAACCAGCTGAAGGCTACATCCTGATGCATATCAAGCCATGGTAATGGCAATGGTCGAGCAGGTACAGGTCATGTAGATGGACCTGGGTGAAAAAGTCAGAGCTCATATCATTAGGGAGTCGTACTCGTACAAAGACCCCAATTCCGAAGATGAATAAACTGCTATTCAACAAACATGTAGTTTTTTTTTGTTGTTGAAGTGAAATAATGTACAAGCATTGCATTCAGAGTGATTAACCCTTCGATCAGTATACGAGAAATGTACTGTAACTATGCCAGCTAGCTGGTCTTTTGCATGACGATTGCTCTCAATCTTAGTCTACAAAGCATAACTCTACAGATCATAGTTTAGATTATTAATAAATTCAAATTAAGTAGCTTGACTCTTGTAGAACATCTGAATTTACACTTATTTGTCGTATTTATTCAAAACAGATTAAACGTGTGTTATATTTTGGCTGGTGTAAGTGGCTAACTAACATAATGTGTACATCATGTATTATATTAACTTCATATCTGCTATGCAAAACTAAACATCTTTGTTCATGATTGTGGCAATTGAACAATAAGCTATCTGAACTGTTTTTTTTTGCTATTCGAACTTCGCGATTTAGCTCCTTTCTAAAGTTGTCTCTTTCTTGTCAAACTTGCATACAATACACGTTTACTAGAGTTATAATAAATGTAATGAAATACTGAGGGTGCTATTGAATATTTTGCTGTGATGAATATTAGAAAATGGAATTGTAAATGATAGCCTGCAATATTATCATACACCATGTCAAATCTTTTTTAAAGATACCATTTATATACAGCAGTTAGTGTAAAGGTATTTATCAATGATCAGTATTGTATTCGGTGTGTTTTACATGTACATGTACTCTACATTATCTTACTTATCTAGGGGCAAGAGTGCGAAGTCAAAATATCGGCCGATTTTCCATATCTACTCAATTGAATAATCCTAGATAACAAATCATTGATAAGTACTAAGTACTAGTATTTGAAGTCGCTCTATTAGCATTTCAAAACACATGGCAGCAGGAATTTCCCTCGTAATGTCATGTGTGTAGCATGTTAAGAAGTAGCAAAGGACAGCTGAAACTATCAGCATAACAACAAATGAAAAAGAAAAAATTATAACAAAACACATTGTGGCTTAGGGCGATTCGTTCCCTAAACTCTTTCGAAAGACTTCTGTCATGAATAAGACCTACCATTATGTGGAGGAGAACCAATGAGTTTTGATGCAAACATTTTTAAAGAACTTGATATGATAGCCCTCTCAATCAACTGATAGTTTTACCTGTGACAATGACGCCATGTTCGTGTATAGAATGAGCTATGCATATTTGAGTAGTATATGCCTTGCATCTTCTTAGGAATCTTTATTCCATCTTTCTGAAATAATTCATAGTTGCAAGTCAGGATGAGGATACATGTATGTTGGGTATTATTATTATATACCGGTAAAAAAAAAATCCAAAGATGTTGAGAGAACTTTTTGTAATTTGTTTACTTTTGCCCATCCCCCAAAAGACACATTTATGCCGGTCAGTTACTGTCTTGTTAAATCGCTAAAACAAAATATTAGATATTGTTGAGAAAGTTGCAGCTCCAGTGTGATTTTAAAGCCCGATATTTTCGCTGGCCATAGCTATTTCATTATCATATTTTCATTTATATAAAAACGTACCCTTGTTTCGGTTTATACGTTGCACCCTAATTAGATGTATTAACATTAGGCCTACACGTACATGCTTTCATTTTCCCAGTGCAAGATATTGTTAGTTGATCATTCAGTATATTGTTAAACCATGTATCAGTTGAAATAGAGATTAAAGTGATTTATATATATATTTTGTTCTATACATTTCAAATTTATTTATAACTTTGAGTAGCATTATTTTGCGTTCTAATATTTTTTAAAGATGACTAGATACTCACTGAATATTATTGTTTGTAGAAGTTATTGCTGCTGTGTTCTAGTCAATATATCAGTGCACTGAGAGAATTTATTATTCCAATTTCACATTTCAATCACCTTTGCCCGCTTCATAGTACTAACAGATTGTATTTATTGTAATATTTTATAGAGATTTATGAGGTAATTGACTTGAAGATTGGCAAATATGTATTGAAGTTGTTTCTATTCACTCAAAGTTAGTTTTGATATGAATCATACGTGCTCAAATCCATATAAAAACATATATATTTATGACACTGAGATTTTGGAGTTATAAAAAACGCAAAATAGTGTCTAAACTCGGCAGAATATTTGTAGATATAATTATAGTGAAAGTGCTATTTTTCTACATACAATGATGAAGTAGATTCTAATAAAACGATTGGTTGAGAGGGGACATGTGACCAGGCATCTAATTTGTATCGCACGTAATCGGTCATTGGCACTTTCTAATGACCTCATAGTTTTTCGCGTGCACTGAACAGTATGACACAACATTTGAAATAATGTAATTTATAACCAATGTTGATGATAACATAGGAAAGCAACCTACTCAAATATAGAAGTTGTAGAAACTATGAATATTTTATTATATTATTTCAATTTGAAGAGTTTGAATTGATATGAAAAGGAATGTATTTCGAATAAAGAAAACAAAACTATAAGAATCAATTTCTTTGTACGGACTTGTCTACGAAATGACTATTTTGATATCCTAATTCTAAATGAGAATTTGTGTGAGTGTATTTATTGATATTTTTAAACTGTACTTATTCAAATGAGTTCTAACCTCCATGCATACTTTTGTTTTTCAAGTTGTGCTAATTTGGTGCCACTCGTGTTGGTGTCTATTCCATGCATTTCGTGTATAGAATAAAAAAGTATAATTATTGTAAAGTGTGAATCACAAAAAGGAAACCCATGTTCAACCCTAGATATCTTTATAATCCGTTTTAGCTTCATAGGTATTAAGCCAAACAAAAAGATAACATGCACCCATATCCTTTAATTTAACAGCTTGGTCAATAAAATCTGGCCATAGACACTTTTGAAGAGGCATATATTTGACTGATTCATGTCATAATTATGTGCATTTTCCTAAGTTTTGAATGAAATGAAGGTCAACATTAATTTATCTGAATAGTTCTCAATTTGCATGAATTCATCCAAACTTAAATTAGTGAAAGTACCTTTCTCCTGAACACCACTTTTCTCAAACTTGGGTAAAGGCGATTGGACATGTTTTGTATGAATTATACATGTATTTGTTTGAATGGTCAATGCATACCCAAACATGAACGTATTATGGTGAGTAGCCTATTATTAAAAAAGGCACCATTCGCGCTCGGACCATTTCAGCAAGTTAACTTGGTATCAGAGATGATAATGGGGGGCTTGAATATACTGTGTAGGTTCCATTTTTTAAATATTTTTTTTACTCACAATGCACTCTATGCTGAGGTGTGAAAGTGCACTCGTCCCGTACCAAAGGCGACTTGCGCATCGACTTGGTTTCGAACCCGGAACCTCCCGGTTACGACTACGAGACCATTGCTCTAAAATGTACTTCTGTGCCATCTCCCCCTCTTCCAAGTTACAGTTGGTTTAAAATGCTCTAATGAGAGTGGATTCCACTCGTTTTATGTGTGGATTTCCACTCCATAATGACGTGATCCCTCTCGTTATGGCTCTCCTTTAGTCTAAGAGTGGATTTTCAAATCCTGAGCCTTTAGAGATTATGGTTACCAAGCAATCAAACTTTGTTGTGATGATGTTATTGTTACTTATTAACCAGAATAAAGCAATTTTCTTTTAGGTGAATAGTTACATGTATTGATGCGAAGTATCTTGGAGATGTATCGTTGTTACTGAAGTGTTACTAATATTGCACTTCAGTCGAATAGAAGGAAATGCACCAACTAAGATTTTGTTTTGAACCATGTCTTGTGGTATTGTGTGTGTGTGTGTTACTGTAAAGCCGGATTAAGCTTTGTCCTTAATTGAAGAAAATAAAATAAGTAAAGAAATTTTACCAGCTCTTTAAAGGGACTAGTTGACTTGCTAACAAGTAATTGTTTAAAATCTGTCCTCCAAAAAATGTCGTGGAAAGCAAGAACATAATTATATGGGCACTGTTTAAATTTCGTTGAATTCGGATGATAACTGTAGTTCTTTCAAATTTATCGTATTACCGCGTTAGTTAAATATTTTCACATTTTCAATATTAAACGTTGTTCGGTTTTCAGGGAAGTTTCCACACATCATTCACAGCCATCTCACAATGTAAAATAATGCATTGAAAACTGAAAAGTCTAGTTTTTCATCCTGAATGATGATATTCACTTTAATCTCATGGATTATAGTAAATAGCATGATTGTAAACTTATATGAAGTCTGTTCAGCATTATATTGTAATATGAAGTACTTTCAAAGACAAATATATGATAATGAACATGGTAGGGGTAGCTGATTTTCCTAAAATGTGCCAATAACCTTGAAATAACGCAAGTCCGCCTGCCGACATAATGCAATACAATACAATGTAAACAATGGTAGCTGTAATAAAATTTCTTCCTAAAAATGCTGACATCATTCGACTATTAAGTGGGGGAAAAAAAACTTTTGTCTTCATGACTCGGCGAAATATTTGACAATGTGGCGTTATTTTCTATGAATAAAAGTGAAAAGAGAAATCAATGTAACTTACCGGTTCAATGACTGTTTTGTACTTGGTGTTACCACAAAAAAACATACTTGTGAAGTTGTGATTGAATAACTTTAAAGTAGCGTGCCGTTTACAAGTTATCATCCTCTTTTCTTTGCTTTCTTTACCCTACACCACCATCATGTTCTTCTTCACTTCTCTTTATCTCCTTTATATATAAAATGAGTTAGGGAGATCAAATAATGAGAAATAGGCTTTTTAAAGTTATTTTAATTTTTTTTAACAATCTACTCATTCAAGTTTAGTTCATTAATTTGAGGTTATTTGATATGAATGTTTTTATATACTGTATTTTACATTTGTAAAACATTGCCCAATTCGGCCTTGTAGGCCGCGATGCATTGTTGTTCTTTTATTCTCAATAAAACCATTATCTATCTATCTATCTATCTATCTATAGTTTGCATACTGGTTGCAAAATGCATTGAAGATTGGCAGGTGTGGTAAACATAAAATGGATTGTCTTGATATTAATTAGTTACTACTACACTAACATATCTTAATTTGTGAGGAGTAAATAATTATCCAATTCGCTTGTTTTATTGTTTGTATTATTATTATTATTATTTTTTTTTTTTTTTTAATAATTTCCTGTTCAGTTGTACATGTAAGTGCAAACAATAACCATGATAATAACCCTGGATGAATCACAACTTGAACCATTCATGACTCTTAGAATCAACCTTGTCACGGGATTTTTGTTTAAAAACTTTCACTTTTTTTTTTATTATGCTTCAATTTTTGTATTGTTACAAATCATGTTTATTGTCAGGGTGGATTTCCCCTGTAACGAAACGCCCCTCTGTGTATGGTGTGCGAGAGTAAGTATACATGAAACCGCATCAACCAAAAGATGGAACACTTTCCATTACGAAAAAAGTGGACTTATGACTGAGCAAATACTGGTTTAGTTAGCTGATTATAGCATTTTGGTTATCAATCCAAATACACATTTTTTCTTTTAAATGGCGTTTTGATTAATCTTTCATTTTGAAGAAGGCCAATGTAATAACTGCTTGATCTCCTCTGGTCACTTTCAAAGTCAGTCATGTTTATATATAGAAACGACTCTCTTCTTTTCCAATGCATTTTGAATATATTTCCTCATATTCACATATACGTGTATACTGTATAGGTGGTCTTTGGTCTGCCATACGATATATCATAATTCGTTATGTGTACACGAGTTGTTCTATGCCAGGCGTGTGCGCTACGGGAAAATGGCGCCTGTTATGAAAGGTGGAGGCCCGAGGGTATATTATTATTGAGCCTTAACGTTCTTACGTCTTTAAATAGCCTGCTCCATATCAGCTAATTTTAAAGATACTCAATAGGCTAAAGGTTAAGAGATAGTGGTGAATTTTCTTATTTTTTTAAACATTCCTATGTAGAAGAATATAACAGCAATATTAAATGGAATTGTCTGCTCTTGA